TTTAGAGTATAGCATTTAAATTGTCCCATAGTGCCACCTGGCATACCAACAGGAACCTCATGCCCTAGGAAACAGGCCATCACCAATTAATGTTGGGCACACATAAAGCCTCGTTTTCATAGGTACATTAGTTACTCTAGGATGTCCTGCACCCCAACAATACAGCTTCATGAGTTCCTTTTTACGGGTCTTGGGCCATGATTTAACTTACTGTTGACGGTGCATTGTCTATGCAACACTGCCAACCGGCACAAACCGTGAACCCAAGGCTGAACCTAGGTTCCCCAGTAACCCATTAAGAATAAGGGTGCCCTTTTTCCTACAGCTCAACTTCAATAAGGAGACCCCAAAATAAAAAAAGGGAAAAAGGCTACTACTGGGGTACCTAGGAACCTTAATAGAGCTGGAACCAAGACCTTCCCTTAAAGTCACCGGTCCCAAGTGCTAACTTATAAACTACCCCCAAAAATCATAGGTTCCATGTCATGTTCCGTTTTCTTTTCCATTTGGTTCTCCATTATCATTGGGGTAGTCATAATCTCAGTTTCCATGTCATTTTGCATGTTCTTTTCCGTTTGAATCTCCAATATTGGGGGTAATTATACTCCCAGCTTCCATTTCATTTTTCGTTTTCTTTTCCATTTGATTCTCCATTACTGGACTGTAGCTCATCGTAGCAAATGACACCTAAAACCCTAGACCCTAAACCTAAAACCCTCATCCCTAAACCCTAAATCCTGGGGGCCAATATACCACGAATGGTACCCCTACCTGCAGAAGGGCTTCATGGGAATGATCACTGCTTCCTGGAGTTAATGGATGTGGTAGGGTTTAGGATTTAGGGTTTAGGATGTAGGCTTTAGGGTTTAGGGTTTGGGGGTTAGGGTTTGGGGTTTAGGGTTTCCCAAAATCAGGAGTACCTTTGTGGCAGCCCTTACAAAAAAGGATTCTAGTCCTTACAAAAAAGGATTCTAGTATTTGGGGTCTATATAAGGTTCCCCCTATTTTGGGAAACTACCATATGACTTATAATCTGTGCTTGCAATTCAGAAGCCTTCGCTCGAAACCGGACCCCACACCCAAAATACTCGAAATCCCTAACCCCCAAACCCCAAACCCAAGCAAATGCCAGGCAATGCTCCAAACGTCACGGTCGCATGCTTGACACCTCGTCTGCCCTCCATCATGACCAGGGGCTTCTAAAACTTCAACCGAAAGGGTCCTAGTGCAAAACGGTGGGGGCTTTAGGTTCTAAAGACATTGTGGGTGTTGCATCTGACATCTACTCCTCCAAGGTGTGAGTATAGTACTTCATATCTAAGCGTCCAGAATATGGGTACTTGGACCCTAAGGCACCAAAAGCACTGGCAGTTCGATGGTTTTGTGTGCGGCAACCGTGAGACCCTGACTGCGGCTAGCCCGGCTTCAGTTCGCAGTTATGTTTCTGTTCCAAGATACGGTTTTTGGGGTTGAGCCTTACCCTAAACCCTAAACCCCCAACCTTTGGGGAGTTGTTTGGTGGTTTGTCCTGCCCTAACCATACTGCCCTGGGAGCCTGGAACGACACGACATGCTTCAAATCTGTTGCCGGTGACGCAATCCCTGAGGGCCCATGCATCAAAATGGTTTAGGGTTTACGTCCCAACTACAGTAATCTGAATGGTATCGGGGACCTGAAGCCTTAATATTTACGTACTTCCGGTCTTAGGGACACATAGTCGCATGACCCAGCAGCAATTTAAATGGTGCCGAATCCCAAGCCAAAAGCCTGTCGCTGGATTACTAGGAGCGCGACGAAAAACAAAACATGAAACTCAGACCATCAACATCATTGCAAATATTGGTCATGTTAAAAAGGGCGGATATAAGAAACCCGGACATTGTCAAAATACCTTATACGTACTCGTGACAGTGAACCATTAAGGCAATATACGACTTGGGAAGGTACTCAACATAATTACAAGAAAATGAAGTTTTGGCAATAATTGTAACTTTTCTGTCATGTGGTATTTATTACATATTCATGGACAGCGAGGAAGGTATTTAGGATGACGGTAATACTAACGACTCGGAATTTAGGCATTGAGTGGGTTAGGAAATTCAGACTGCGAAGAATATAAGAAACACCCAGAATATCATACCATTGGATGCACATTCAAATTTCGGCTTGTGGGGCAGGAATATCCCCAAAATAAGGGTGAGCATCAAAGGGTTACATCGAAATTCAAAAATGTACCATTGAACAGATTAGGGCTAGTTATGCAGTTGTGAGGAATATCATGGCTATGAATGAAGACTCTTGCGCATTTAGTATCATACAGCCCCCCCTCTCCCCTGCCTTGTTTGCTCTGCGGCTGTTGCTCATGAGATTCTGGCTTTCTGAAGTGGGGTCCACAGGCCAAGTGGCTAGCTTATGTAACTTCTGTTGATTCTAAAGAGTAGTATACCATAATACCAGACTGCCCAAGGTATAAGGTACTTAGGGGTCATGCAGGATTCTTAGTATCCAAAGGCGGATACTTGAAATACTGCATGACACTAAGCACCTCAAACCTTGGGGTTTGTGGCATCTTAATATACTGAGGTCATGCACGGTTTTTGGTATCAAGCACGTAACCCTAAATAGAGCCGGATGCTCAGGGGGCCCGCAACCCTGAGCCCTGAATTGACTACTGAGGAGCGTATCCACGCACCTAGGGTTCGGCTTTAGCGTGTAGGTCCGCTTTGAATCCTACTGACATGGCTCCCGAAAGAGGGATGGATAGTCTTCGCCAAACCCTAAACCGCTAAACCCTAAACCCTAAATGCTACAGAGGCCAGAAAACCTCCCAAAGGGTCCTAAGTACCCATATGGGGTATACTTACCCAAACCATAAGGGAAATTACTACTACAGAAACCCTACTTTGTACCATATAGGTACTTTGGCCCCTTTGGGCCTGTAGCCAGAGCCAAGGGGCCTCAACAATCTCATGGTCTGAGCTTCTCAAAATCTGCACCGTGTACTACATGTTCCCCGTTGTAAGCCCTCTATATGATCCATAGTCTAAACTCCTTCAAGGGGGTTCTGTGGCGGAAAATATAGCGTTTAGGGTTTAGGGTATAGGGTCTTTGTAGTTTAAGGTTTAGGGTTGGGGTGTAAACTCCTTAAACGTGATCATATATAATTAATAGTCTAGGGGACTCTATGGTGGTCACTCAGTTCAGACTATGGCTCAAATGTCAAAGGCCTTAATGTAGCACGCAACGATTTCGAGAAACACCCATGGAAGTTTAGGCTTGGGCCTACACAGCGTGCCTTGAACCTTCAAGACCTATGGCTCAAGGGCTTAATGTGGGGTCCATTAAGTCTTTATGCAAGGTTTGCTCAAAATATACGGGTACATTAAGCGCTCAAGGTCAATGGAGAAGAAGATGGGACATCAAGCAAACTCGGTTTACACAGGGGACGTTGGGGTCTATCAGGATGATCAGGGTAAGATATTGCTAGCCATTAGCAGCCTTGTATGCCATGGGATTAAGGTTTAGGGTCTAGGGTATGGTACAGAAAAAGCCGGCTCTTCAAGATGGGAGGGCCCCTTAGGGACGCTTCAGACGGAGCATACGGATCAACAAGGGTCAGGGTTAAGGAAAGTGTAGGGCTGTTCAAAATGTTGGCCTTCCAGGGAATCTAGGGTCTGTAGGGATTATGACGAGTTTGCCAAAATCTCCGCGTAGAAAGATATAATTCGATCCTTAACGCGAAGCCAGGAACCCTGAACCTTGACCCATTTTCCACGAGACCAGGCAATGGCGGTAACAATCCCTATGGGTGTTACAAGCTATTCCCACAGGGTCCATGTAGGTGTACAGTATATACTTAGGGCCCAAAGGGGTTCCCATATAACTACTTTACGGCCGAGGGGTATACTATAGATTTTCAAGGACCCTGTGAGACTGTTTTCGGCACATGAGCTGCAGCCGTAACCTCCCCCGAACACGGAAGCCCAAAAGGGGCCCTGGCCTGTAAAGGGTTTAGGGTTTAGTCCTTTAGCAACAAAGCCATATGTTGTTCCGTGTTACTTCGGGGGAGGGTTTTACTTGCATAGCTCATTCTACAGCGTACGTGAGGTCGTATCAGGCAGTATGTTACTCTTTGCTAAGTGACAGGAAAATATGGTACGCCATACAGTTTCCTGTTCATTGCAAATTTTAAGCCTCGGTATTGGCAGTAGCTCACATGGCCGAGTTCATTTGGTGAGAAATGGCTCAGCAAGCCAGAACCTGTCAGGGAAAAAGGAACTGGTTGAAGGTTTGGGTTTGGGGTTTAGGTCGTGACTCCCACGTCCTGTAGACCTTGAGCCATGAACCCTGAACCAAGCTTAGCATAAAAGCACCACCCTGGAAAGTGGCCGTACTGATGGCATGTACCTAAATGGGCTATAGTCTAAACTCAGTTAATAAGCCCCTCTAATACTCGTCTATGATACTCCCCTGTAGATCCCCCCTTAAGGTGCTTAGACTATGGCTCAAATGGGTTGAACTCACTTTTAAGTTGTAGGTTATGAAGCTTAGTGCTGCAGGTGTCACCGTGCGTTGTTGCGTTCAACCAGTTGAGGATCTGCACGGAGGGTTCCCTGGTTACATACCTACACTCAAAGACCCCAGACCTCTCCTCTGTGGGACGTATAGCCATTCTTATCCTTCTTGGGGTTAGTAGGGAATAGGGGATGCTAAACCCTAAAATCTAAACCCTGTGAGATTTCATTGAGCTGACAGTCATGCAGCACAGACATGTACAGTTGCTGTCGGCAATCGAGCTGTCACAGGAGGGCCACTTGGAAGTCGCCTGACCGGGAGCCCCCAAGCTGCTCGAAACCAAAAAGGGTAGACATGCTGTGCACATGGGCGCCACCTGAGGGTCGCTAGATCTCTCAGGTGGTAGCGGAGCGAGGCAAACCGTGCTGCTGGCTTCCAGTGTGTTAGTGGACAAGTTGGAGGCGGGCGGCACCGAGTCTCCCAGATGGCGACGAGCAGCGGCAAGGAGGGAGATGAACATCGAAGTAGACTCGAAGTTTTCGCCGGCTCGAATCCAGCAGGATACAGGAGATGGCGCCGGCGAGCAGAGCTGTTCCTGTTGGCACTTCCCAGCAATTACTCGAAAGAGCGCTGGGGTCCGAAGCTGCTGGAGTTCATCCAAGGCGAAGCCGAGGAGGCCTTGGAGGACTTGTCGATCGAGAAGGTCACCGCGGAAAACGGCTACAAGGACATTCTTGCCATTCTAGATGACAAGTACAAAGAGCTTCAACAAGAGTCCCTTCACAGAGGCCTGAAAGAGTACTTCTATCAGGTCATGATCAAGCCTGGCGAGAGTTACCGCAACTTCATGGTCAGATTGGACACTGCACATAGAAAGCTTGCAGAACATGGCATCACGCTGCCGGAAGAAGTCCAAGGATGGTTTCTGATGAGGAAACTGGGATTGGACTTGCCTTCTGAATCGATGGTGCTTACTGCAACATCAGGATCGCTGAAAAAGTCAGAAGTGACCAAGGCGATCAAAGCCATCTTTCCGCAGGGGAAGGGCGGCGCAGTGAAAAGGAGTGACGTCTTCGTGCTGGAAGAGCTCGGTGAGCAGGGCATGACTGGTGCGGAGGCGGAACAGCCGCCGGAGGAAGATGGCCAAGAAGAAGTGCAGGAGATCTTCGAGATAGTTGCTGACCAGGTTCAGCAACACAGTGACTATGAAGAAGATGAGGCCCTGGATGTGTTCGAGTCCTACAGGGACATCAAGAAGAAAGTCCAGGACAAGAAGACCAGCAGGGGCTTCAAGGGCTCTGGCAAGGCACAGGGCAAGGGACACATGGGAGGAGCGTGGCAACTTCAAGGGCCCTTGATGGCAGGATCGACTTCATCAAGAGCAAGACAAGATGCCACATCTGTAAACAGCTCGGGCATTGGAGGCGCGAATGCCCCCAGCGGATCCAAGGACGTGCCAGGTCTTCCGGAGGAAGCTCTGCAGCGGCAAGTTCGACCACGAACGACGTCCACTTCACAGACGTTTTGTCCTTCAACGAGTACCAGTCCCTCGACACCGTGGCAGAAGTGCTGGAGATGGACAACGTGACCGAGCCGAAGCAAGGCGACAGGGCCAAGGGCAAGCAGGTGGACAGCTGGAAAGTCAGCGAGGATGGCAAGGAGCTGTTGCGTGTGCACCGCAAACCAAGGAAGGGCTTGTTCTCTCCAGCCGGGGTGCTTCCCCTAAAGTTTGGTAGCGCGAGAGTAGATGTGCAGGTAGCAGTTCTCCCAAAGGGAGGTGCTCACACACCCTTGTTGTTGTCGAAGGAGTTCCTGAAGTGGATAGGGGCCATTATTGATACGGATACCGACACTCTTGTGTGTAAGAAGATAGGGCAGCGCATCCCGCTGGCCGAGACGGAGCGAGGACACTATGCCATACCAGTCTTGCCGGACAGAGCAGGCATGACATGTGCTGCGCCCGTGACAGGCTCAACAGCGAACTCCAAGAAGGGCATCCCAACCGCTCATTGCGTACTTGAGTGCAGCCATGGACCGCGAGTACGAGGAGATCACCCGCAAGATGATGGAGAGCCTGAAGATCAGCGAGGGCGAGAAGAACGAGGTTCACGTTCCCGTGCGGGACATGGACGATGTGACAGACGTCAGCGAAGACGAGCCGTGGACCCCAATACCAGGGACGACGAAAATGGAATGTGGCAAGCACGGCAAGACCCAGAAGCTGACCATGGATCAAGTCTACAAGCGGGACAAGAGCTATGTGAAGTGGGTCAGGGAGCATGTGACAATTTCGTCCGCAGAGGGCATGCGGAAGCTGCGTCTGTACGTGGCACGCCGGGACAGCAAGAAAGCCGCGCGCATGAAGAGGCAAGTCCAGAGCCAGATGAACGAGAAGGCCAGCAGCTCCAACCAGGAGCAGAGTGCCAGCGATCCGAAGGGCAACCGGATGAAGACGCCCCAGAAGAATGCCGAGGAGCAGATCCGGATGAGCCTGATGGGTCTTCGAGACTGGCGCCGAGCAGCCGTGGAGCAGAAGGCACCACCGGATGTCATCAAGGACCTCGACGAGGTGATCAAAGCTCAGGAGGACAAGCTCATGAGCATGGAGGGACGCAAGGCGTCAACCAAGCGCCCAGGATTGCCGATCCCGGCAGAAAGCGACATGGAGTTGGAGCAGTGGGAGCAGGTGATCTACGCCGAGGCCAGCGCCAAGACCAAGAAGAAGTGGGAAGGCATCACGAGAGATGTTCTCCTTCGCGAGCAGACTCGGCAGGCCAATGTTCGCAAGGGCATCCGAGAGGTGCGAAGGGTGATGAGTGCCCGCAGCTCGAAGAGCTGATGTGTAGCCTGCAGAGCCTTGAATCCCGTCTGACTAGTTGTGATGTAGCCATGGTGCAGATGGGAGTGGACATTTCTGAAGTTTTCTCCGTGCCTAGGATTAGCCAAACTGCCAAGGCGGTAGGGCTGAACCCGGGAAAATGCTACGACATTGCCAATGGATTCGATCTGTCTCGACCCCAGGTGAGAAAACAAGTGCTTGAGGAGTTGAGCATTGCAAGGCCAAAACTTGTTGTGATATGTCCGCCATGTGATCAGTACTCCAGTCTGTGCGACATGTCAGGGTACAAAGGCAGTGCTGCTTGGGTTAGGAAAATGCTCAAGGCCAAGGTCCTTCTGAGGTTTGCCACGCAGATTGCGGAGAAACAAGTTAAACAGGGTAACCTCTTTCTGTTTGAACACCCACATGCTGCTAGGTCATGGGGTGACAGACATGTTCAACGGTTAGGTAGAAACCATGGCGTGGGCAGTGTTGCGTTCGATCAATGCATGTTCGGTCTTGCTGATGTGCAGAGTGGAGAGCGGCATAGGAAGAGAACTCGCGTCATGTGCAACAGTGAACATGTTCTTAGAGAGCTTGATCGCACTTGCAGTGGAGACCACAGGCATGAACGGCTGCTGGGCAGGGTCAAGCATGAGGGCATGTGGCTGAGTAGGAGTAGGTTGGCCCAGAAATACCCCGAAGAAATGTGTAAGGCTGTGGTTAGGGGTCTTCTCAAAGAGAAACAAGCCAATAGTCAGTCCGTTGTGCAGCATCATGTGTGCATGCTTGAGAGTCTTGGTGAGAGCGAGAGCGATGCCAGAATCATGAGGACGCTGAGGAGATGTCATGAAAACTTAGGCCATCCTTCAACCGCAAAACTGATTTCCATGCTGAAGAGTGCACATGCAACGGATAGGGTGTTGAAGTTGGCTAAGGGATTGCAGTGCCCAACGTGTCAACAGGAGTCAGGAGTCAAATCTAGGCCCGTGGCTACAACTCAGGGAGCCAAAGAGTTCAATCAAGTTGTTGGCATGGACACATTTGAGGTTGAGTTGCCGTGGCGGAAGCTGAAAATGCTGAACGTTGTTGACATGGCGACCCGTTATCAGGTGTGCGTTCCTCTGTGGAAAGGTGTTGATGCACGGTGTGCCCGTGTTGCTTATCGGCGTTATTGGAAGCGTTGGGCCGGCAGCCCGGTGAAAGCTTGGACTGATGCTGGGCCGGAGTTTGGTGAATATTTCACGTCTGCTCTTGAAGGCGACGGGACATGGCATGAGGTGACCGCCAGCCATAGTCCATGGCAAAATGGAGTTGTGGAAAGGCATGGCGGTGCGTGGAAAGTTGCTTTCAACAAAGCCTTGCTTGGACTTGTGCTTGAATCCAAAATGGAGGTTGAAGAGTTGTGTGATCAAATCACCCAAGCCCACAACACCATGACAAGGAAAGGGGGTTATTCCCCCAGCCAACATGTGTTCGGGTCGGAGCAACGGGTCCCTGGGCTTGTGTTGACCGGTGTGCATGACGATGTTGTTGAGTCGGGCCTTGCAGTTGGTGAGTCTGCGTATGAAAGAAGGCATGCCATCCGTACTGCGGCCAGAAATGCATTCATTGATGCAGAGAATGAGGAGCGGCTGAAGCGAGCCGCCGCTCATCGAACCAGGCCAAAGGATGGACCCTTGTCGGTTGGTGAGCTTGTGTTGGTGTGGCGCAAGTCCGTTGGTGAAAAGAAGCCTCACTGGCATGGTCCTGGTCACGTGCTTGGAGTACAGGGATCCCGGATATGGGTGGCACATGCCACCAAAGTGTACCGGTGTTCGCCTGAACAAGTTAAGCGGCTCAGCCAGGAGCAGGAAAGTTTGGTGCGTTTGTTGCCAGATGATTTGCGGACATGTCGGAATCAGTTGCGGGAACGAGGTGCCGGTAATATCGTCGAGTTAGATGGCAGGGACGTGCCGCCGCCCAATTTCCGTGATGGTGCTGAAGGCCAGGACGAGGCCGGCGAAGCATCAGAAGAGGCGGTTGCTGAGTCAGGACCAGTTGCAACGCAAGTTGATGGACATGCCGAGGTGTCTGCGAGCGGGGATGCAGCCACTGAAGTTGTGGCGGAACAACCGCCAAACATGGAGGTGGACACCGAGGAACTTGTGCCTGAAGAGCCCTTGTTGGAACATGGGGCAGTTGATGTTGCCATGGGTCCTCAGCAGAGGGAGCGTGTGGGCAGTGAGCCTGAACCACACGGTGAGCCTGAAACAGCCGGCGTGCCAGTTGGAACAGTGACGGTGCGGAAGATGCCAGAAGCAAGCTACGGGCCGCAAAGGCCAATCAGTGAGCTCACAAGGGCAATGCGTGCCAGCTTGAGGAACCTGGACTTCGGAAGGCCAATCCGTGAAGGCACTCCGGAGGTCGGTGATGACGAGCTTCTTGTTGAGGAAGTTCTGGTCACTGAGGAGGTGTGCGTGGCAGAGGCCAAGAGGCGGAGGAAGTCGGAGGTTTCGGAGCAAGAGTTGGCAAGGCATGAAAAGGAGAATCTTCATGTGTCCAAGGCTGCGGAGTGGAACAAAATGTTGGAAACGCGTTCTGTCAAAGTGCATGTCGGCGAGGCAGCTGAACAGTTGATCAACGAAGTTGGCAAGGACCGTCTGTTGTCGAGCAGGTTTGTCATCACAAGGTCCGACGATGCGGAGAAGCTGAAGAAAGGCCTGGTGAAGGCCCGGTGGTGCATCAGGGGATACTTGGATCCGGATCTGTTGGAGCTTGATACGGCGGCGCCAACGTTGAGTCCAGAAGGCCTTGCGGTGGTGTTACAGGTGTTGGCAACAAAGAAATGGGACCTTTGCATTGGCGATGTTGAGGCAGCTTTCTTGAGAGGTGACGACATCGAGCGACCTCGCGGACGAGTGTTGGTGCGTGTGCCTCCGGGAGGCATCCCTGGGGTGCCGGAGGGAGCCGTCATAGAACTGCTCAAGCCGGTGTACGGCTTGGCGGACGCGCCGAAAGCTTGGCATCGATCATTCACACAGGCGCTTGCAAAGCTTGGTTGTGTTGCGTCGAAACTTGATCAGTGCGTGTATTTCTGTCGTTCGAGCGATGGTGTGTTGCAAGGAATCATTGCCTTACATGTTGACGACATGGCGTGTGGCGGAACTCAGTGGTTCCATGACAGCGTGTTGCGAAGGCTCAGGGAGGCGTTTCCGTTCAAACATTTCAAGAAGAAGGCTGGAGACTTCCTTGGCAGGTTCCTGCAGCAAGGCGAGGACTTTTCCATTCATGTTAGCCAAAAAGAATACGCCGAAAACCTTGAATGCATTAAGGTGTCGCGTGACCGCAGGAAGCAGAGAGACGCTGAAGTCACGGAAGAAGAGAGAAAGCAGATGAGGGCTGCTTTAGGTGAGCTAAACTGGCTAGTGAGCAGCAGCCGCCCAGACCTCGCTGCCTTCTGTTCCTTGCTTCAGCAAAGAGTAAACAAAGCCCTGGTGAGAGACCTCATAGAGGTCAACAGAGCTGTGGCCATGGCACGTGACTTCTGCAACATGGAAGTTGTGGTGAGGCACATCCCGGAACAGGAGGTCGAGTTCTGCGTTTGGAGCGATGCCTCATGGGCGAACGCCACGGAGAAGAAGTCACAAGGCGGCTACGTCATAGCAGCCGTGCCGAGCTCTCTGCGGAAAGGGTCATGGGCTACTTTCTCACCGTTGAGATGGAAGTCTTACAAACAAGACAGGCAAGTGGCATCAACTTTGGGAGCAGAGTTGCTGGCTCTCTCGAGAGCGCTGGCAGAAGCGAAGTGGGTGCGGTCCATGTGGTCGGAGGCCATGAATGCGAACTACACTCTGGAGACGAACGACAAGTGGGCAGTTCAAATTCCCATAACTGCTTGTCTAGACTCCAAACCGGTGTACGACCACATTCACGGTCAGCTGATGACAATCAGGGACAAACGGCTTGCCATAGAGATGTTGTTGGTGAAGCAGGATGTAGCGTCGGACAACGTTGCAACCAGATGGATGCCAACATATCAGATGCTGGCTGACAGCATGACCAAGTGCGGTGCGCCGATGGCGTTGCTGAGGAGAACCATCCGAGAGGGCAAGACAGTGCTCGTGGAAGATGACGAGATCAAACGATGGGCTGCTAAGAAATAGGGTGGTTTAAGGGTGCTGGGAATGTCCACTGCAACTTAAAAGCATTTCGGGGGTGTGTGAGATTTCATTGAGCTGACAGTCATGCAGCACAGACATGTACAGTTGCTGTCGGCAATCGAGCTGTCACAGGAAGGCCACTTGGAAGTCGCCTGACCGGGAGCCCCCAAGCTGCTCGAAACCAAAAAAGGTAGACATGCTGTGCACATGGGCGCCACCTGAGGGTCGCTAGATCTCTCAAACCCCCTAATATTATATATAGGGACTATATTCCCTTATTCCCTACTAAGAACCCTCTTTGCCGCACAAAGTTTCGGGTCTTCCAAGCCTTTGCTTGGCACAGCCTTTCGTTACAGAAATGCATAGGTATAGGTCCCCTTAAGTAGATAGAACATGGGGTATATAGGGATCTTATCAAGATATTGGGCAATTCCATATTCTATCTTCTTAAGAAGGACTATATGCATATTACACAACACGCATGTTAGCTTGGAAAATGATTGAAAAAGACAGACTCTCCGATACTACCCAAAACCCTAAACTTCGTTACAAGTTGGATTTTACCCATCTAGCAAGAATGCAGTGTCGCGGAAAGTCCTTGTGCTAGTTTGATAAGGCCTGAACCCTGAAACCTAGACCAACGCCTAACTACCTGAGAAGGTTTGGGAGTTTAGTGTCCAAGTATCCTAAACCCTAATCCCAAAACCCTCAATAGTAGTTTCCATTTTCTATTATCTCTATATACCCCCTATATATGATCCCTTATATTGGATCGCAAAGCCTGGGCAACCCTCAACCGCAGCTCGTGGGTCTAGAGTCTAGGGATTCAAGGCCCTTGGTCTCAACATTCCATCAGCGTGTGAATGCTTAGAAGCTTGTACAACAAGAATTGTAGCCTTGTTGTTGGGCAATCTGTGACCATGCGGTACTTGGGCATGTATACTGCGAGGGCATGAAGAGTTGCCAACATCATTTGAAATCTGTTAGGGGCACCCTACCCTACACAAACATTGGAGCCATCATGTGTACCTGGATATGTCGGTACCAGATGTCACAGGGTTTTAGGGCTTGAGGGTTGAGTGTCTGTGGACACTTTCCTAACAGTTGTCTAACGAGCTTCTCTGTATTAAATGCTCACCCTGAAAGAGGCACAACACCTTTGAATAGACCCCCTCAAGCTAGGTTGTTCTTCAAACTATGGGCCCTTTTTGGTTGCAGACTATATTGCGGCACCTAATATTCAGCGGTACCAAGATGAAACCCTAATTTTGGAAATCCTAAACCCTGAATAGTAGTGCCAATCTTCTTTGTCATTATCCCTATATAACCCCTATAACCCCCTTTAAAGGCACCTCCACTACCCAGCTAGTGTGCTGCTTTTTGTGTGGTCTACTTTGTGGTCTGTTAGCAGGCCGGACAGTCCTGCTAACAGACACACAAACTAGACCACAGAAACCGCAACACCTTCATATACACACACCAAGACATCCGTGTTGTAAGTTTTGGGGTCTTCGGGTTTAGGTTTTGGGGTCTCATTAGTTTGTGGTGTCCGTTAGCAGGCAGGCCGTGGCAGTCCTCTAGTTTCAAGTTATCATATGTTTTTTGAGGGGTGAGCTGCACCTTAACCCTAAGCCCCAAACCCTAGGACCTCAATCCTAAACCCTAAATCGCAAACCCTAAGCCCCAAACCCTAAATCCTAAACCTGATTTAGGCATGCCGCTTTCTGGCCTGAGTGCTTGTTTAATGGTCAGGTGGACTTTAGAGCTTGTAAACACTGAAGGGTCCAGATAGCGAATAAAAGGGTTCTAGGTACCCAAAACCATTCACAGTACAGTATGAAGGACCTAAACCCCACGATTTGGGCCCTGTCGGAATCTTAGTGTTTCAGGCCGAAATGCCGTACATCAACCTGCTCTAGGCCAGGTGTTCAGGCACCTGAACTAGAATCTGAACTCCTAATTTGTATCCTCCTCAGTAACGCTCATAATACTCCCCTATATAATCCCATCTATGACCTCCTTGGAGAAGTTTAGACTATAGCTTTTGTTTCTTGCCCCAAACCTGTACCATCAACTACAAATGCCCAAATTAGACTGTAGCTCATGTACCTGCCCCGAAGCTGTACCATCAACTACTATGGTACCAAAAACCCAAGTACCCAATCATCGTAAACCCTAAGCCCTAAACCCGTTCATGGAAACTTAGATATTTTCCCTGAGGGTCCAAGGACCCAAATAATAGGGTCTCAGGGCCCAACTTTTATAATATCAATGGTATTTGGGCCCTAAAGCCCTGCTATTTGGGTCCTTGGACCCTTAGGGTTTGGCTTCGCTTCATCCGGGTTTAGGGTTTAGGGTTTAGGGTCTAGGGGTTTAGGGTTTAGGGAACAGTCTTAACGTAGTCTTACCTGCGAATCCGTCCACATCCAGTAAATTAGAAAGCCTAGAGCCACACCCGGTCTTGAAAGGGGCAGGATCGAAATCATGGCTTAACCCTAAACCCTAAGCCCCGAATGTGGATACACCGCACTGTCAACCCCACTTGTAACTAGCTGTGACGGACGCAGCCCTCCGTAGAAAAAATCTCAACCCTAAACCCTCTTCATGTAACCCTAATATCTAAAAAAGGGCCAGGCCTCTTGAAGCCAACGGCCCCACTTTGAGCCCCTTCCGGTTGTGGTGCACCTAGGCTTACTGGGGGCTTAGTAGGGAAGATGGGAATATATCATATAGGGGTTATATAAAATATTTGTGCTTTTATTCCCTACTAACCATCAGTAAGTAGGTCAGCAACAACGTATGGCTCAGGGTTTAAGGCTGAGGTTATACCTCAGTCCCAAAAAGCTTCAGCTTTAGAACCTCCGTATAAATTGGGATTTTCCAAAATTAGGGGTACCTTTCGGAGGTGGCAATAATAAGGATTAGAATATTTGGGGGTCTATATTGGGGTCCCCTTATTTTGGGAAGATACCAATTCTTTGTATAAATTTGAAAAACTCAAGGACTTTGCAGCTTCAGGTAACGTTGGTAAAGATCGGCGCATAAGGCCTAAAGTATGGGCCACTGACATTTGCCTTTAAGTGGGTTGTATTTCGGTGAGTTTAGGGTTAAGGGTTTAGGACCTTACCCATACTATGTATTGACCTCATTTGAGCTATAATAATGGAGAGTCAAATGGAAGTTTTGAATTGAAGAATGAAATGGAAACTGCTATTTATATATGCACATATGTATATACATATATATATATATGTTTCTGTAGGGGATCATGGGGTAGTAGCTTTTTCCATTGGCTGGACTCTGGGAACCCGAAGCCTCGTGGAGTTGAGAAGGGACCTTCTGAAGCTTAAGGGTTTAGGGCTAAGGCTTTAGGGTTAACCGTTTAGGGTTAAGGGTTTGGGGTTCCCCAATTACAGTAGGCTGCAGTGGGGACCTTATACCCAAGGTGCGCGACAACTTCCTCCAGTGGGGCTCACAGTTTTGGCAATGCTTGGGTTCTCAGTGGTCTATAAGTGCTTCCGTGACTAATGCTTAATCCGAACTGCCCTTTGACCTAATTTTTTAAAGAACAATAGTTTTATGAATTCCTTAGGGCTTTACTATAACAAAAACAGAAAAGTATTCTTAAGGAGACTACAGCGACCCGCTTGATAGGAGGACATCCTGCACTACTAGAGCTAGTTGAAGCAGTCTCACCTAATTATGGTTTGGGAATGTACTTGGAGGTTCGTGGGACTTAGTAACTACTTACTTCTGGGCTTATAACTATTATAACACCCTAAGTGGAATTGTGAAGGCAACCCCAATCATAAGTAGGGCTATAAGCACAGATCTAAGCAGTTGCTAAATCCCACGAACCTTCAAGTGGGGTTCGAACCCTAAGGGTCCAAGCACCCAATAATCATATACTTGCCCGTAAACTGTACCCGAACCCCTAAACCCTAAACCCCTAAGCCCGATTATCTCATGTTGGATACTTTGACCCCTAGGGTAATGAAGGCTCAGGAATCTGAATGCTTTTCTGGCCACTGAGGCCCTATCATTTGAGTAAATAGACCATTGGGCCCTACATAACTCTCTCTCTGTCTATCTCTTTCTATGTATATGTATACATCTATATAAATGTGTATATATATATATATCCCTTGATACCCCTATATATCCATCTATATCCATCTCTCTATATTTCCTTACGTATCCCTGGGGTTACGCAGAATTTCCCGACTTCCACTTACAATATCCCTGAATGTTCCCTGCTGCCTGCTTACCCTATCCTCCCTAAAACCTTACCAACGACTCATAGTATAAGAAACCCAAAGTAATGTTGCACTTGGTTTTGTGTAGGAACCCTCTTTAATGTGTTTTCGCCGCCACTTATTCAGGACATGGACAATGTTTGGGTGACCCTGTTTAATGTGTTTTGTTTTAGGGGCCCTAACAATACGGGACCGGACCGAATCCAGACCATCCCTTTTAAAGTAATCCCCAGGGGGAGCCTTATTGAGGACGTCTAATTTCTATTTTTCGGAGGGCCCTATTGTTAGGGGGGGGGGCCCCAAGATTAAACAGGGTGCAACATTACATGCGTATTTTGTGATAGACCCCTTAGGGCGTAGGTCATAAAGTAGTCATAATGCTCAAGCCCCGTTTCCCACTAAACCCTACACCCTGAAGCCACCCCTAGGCCCGAAAGCTGCAGTTAGGAGGGATAAAGCCAGGCTAAGATCCAACAACCGCATGATGATCCCTACGTAAAGCCCAAGCATGTAGCCCAAAGGGTCCAGAGTACCTATAATGGTACAAAGTATGGTTTCTGTAGTAGTAATCTCCCTTATAGTTTGGGTAAGTATAACCCAGATAGGTACTTAGGACCCTTTGCGTAGCCGTTTCCATGTTCTTTTCCCTTCCTTCATTCCTGGCTAGTCGGAGATCGTGGGTGCCCGCACGCAACTCCAGCGGCTGCGGCCGTGCTGCCGTTGGCAGCCAGCAAGAAGGGCCTCGAA